TGTGGCCTTGCCCCAAACATTTGACCATCTATTTCTTATATATTTTTTTTGCAAGTAATTAAAAAKAATGAGATGGGTGTTTTTCTAATTATCCTTAATATGAGAATGTTACATTCTTATTTTTCTTAAATTAATAAACAATTAATGAATGTTCTTTCAAAGAGTAATATACTAATATACACTCCAAATTAGTAAATAGGATGGCCTTATTTGGTAGAAAATTTTGATTACAATTCATAGAAATCTCTATGATACACAAACAGATTGACAAATCCTTCTGATCATGATTTTTGATGCAAGTAGGACACGAGAAAATGTAGGTAGGATCCAAAACTCAGCCACTGTATAGAGTTTCTTTACTAATTTCATGCCATTTCATCTTGAACATGCATGTGTCCATACAGTGGGATTAATTTCATCAGAAATCATGAACTTGATGCACGTTTAGGTGTGTAAAAGGGATTTCATCTTGAACATGGGTCAGAGCTTTAGATGTTTAAAAGGGAAAAAAGGAAAAAAAGGGACAAAGTGTTCTTTACATGTATGAGAACAATTATCAGACATTTACAGAGGTTTTCGCTTCACAATCACAATCTTCAAAAATGAAAATCTTCAGGCTAGAGCGTATGACTTTTCTGGGCTTTCTCTATTTTCTTTTTTCCGGTTTATTCTCGATTTCCATTCTGGCGTTGTTGGTCCAAAACTTTCAGACTCCGTCCGCGCATTCAATGTCTGGATGGATCAATTGGGACCCCAGCARCTCAAGTACATAACTTTTCTAAGAGAATCCTCGGATTGCTTCATCTGCTGCTCCTCTCTCATGGCTTTATTATTGCTCGCTATGGCCATGGAAGAAGAAGAAGATAGGCTCTTAGTAGCCTGAGAAAATGATCCAAGATTGCTCTTGGCATGTTGGTGCAACGATCTAAGGGTGTAATTCCGTCTGCATAGGCCTTGATCTTTCATCACTTCAACAGCCCCAAGAGTAGCTGCTGCAATCCATGCTCTGCTCGTTGAACTCATTTTTCTTTCTCTCTCTCTCTCTTTATCTGTTTTTTCTCTCTAGTAAAGAAGGGCACATAAGCTTATGAATCTGTGTTTGGATGAAATGAACCCARGAGYTCTTTTATGTATATATAGAAAAARTGGGTGACAACAAGCTCATGAGTTTCAGAGTTTTGAAGAAAACCAGAGGCGGATTTAGAAGTGGTTTCAGAAAGAACAAAGAAGCCACCGGTTCTGAACG